CAACTACAACAGGACAGTGCACACAGCCCACACAGGGGAGCACCTAGAAGGCCCAGCTCAGGTGACTGGGGAGGCTGAGCCACTGGACCCTACAGGACACCTACTACACAAAGCCACTCTACCAATGCCAGGAGACATAGCAGCTCTATCTAATACATAGAAACAAACACCAGCAAGCAGACAAAATGCAGAGGCAAAGAAACATGTCACAAAGGAAAGAATAGAAGAAATCTCTGGAAGAGGAACTAAATGAAATAGATCCAAGCAAGCTAACAGATACAGAGTTCACAATCTTGTTTATAAGGATGCTCAAGCATATTAGTAAGAATATGATGAAAACAATTGAAAAAATGGATGACATAATAAAGTACCAATTTGAAATGAAGGCTACATGAACTGAAATTAAAAATAAGTTACAGGGAATCAACAGTAGAGTAGAAGACGCTGAGAATCAAATCAGCAATTTAGAACATGAGGAAACAAAAAACACCCAACCAGAAGAGCAAAAAGAAAAAAGAATNCCAACCAGAAGAGCAAAAGGAAAAATAATCCAGAAATATGAAAATAGTATAAGGAGCCTCTGGCACAGCTTCCCGTGGCCCAACATTCGTATTATTGGGGTGCCAGAAGGAGAGGAAAGACAGCAAGAAACTGAAAACCTGTTTGAAAAAATGACAGAAAAACTTCCCCTACCTGGGGAAAGAAATAGACCTACAAGTCCAGGAAGCACAGAGGGTCCCAAACAAGAGAAACTCAAAGAGGCCCACAGCAAGACACATCATTATTAAAATGCCAAGGGTTAAAGACAAAGAGAAAATCTTAAAAGCAGCAAGAGAAAAGCAATTATTTACCTACAAGGGAGCACCCATACAACTGTCAGCTGATTTCTCAACAGAAACTTTGCAGGCCAGAAGGGAGTGGCAAGAAATATTCAAAGTGATGAAAAACAAGGAACTACAACCACGATTGCTCTACCCAGCAAAGCTATCATTTAGAACTGAAGGTCAGATAAGGAGCTTCACAGATAAGAAAAAGCTAAAGGAGTTTATCACCACCAGACCAGCACGACAGGAAATGTTGAAGGGTTTTCTTTAAGAAGAAGCTAATGAACAAAAGAATCTGACAAACTAAATAGATCCAGGGACAATGACGCATGTAACAGACGATCATATTTCAGAGGAAGGAGGGAAGGGGGGGTGGAGGGTGGGAAGTGAT